TATGACAATCACAGAAACCTTTACCGCAGCGGACACAAAGACAGCATGGTATTCAAAGGAGGCATTCTTCAGCAAATAGAAACTGCTCAGATGTCACAGCGTAACCTAAGTACAGAAGTTTGGATGCATGATAACAGGTGACTTGTATGTAAGGCAAACTTGAATGCTGGACTTTTTACTTGTAACGGAGTGTTTTTACACAGTAGGATTACTACTTTTACTTAGGTGGATAAAGGCTTTGGACCGACACATCTTCCACCAGAGCTAATTTCTACCAAAGAGGTAGTCCCAATAAAATCTTTTCAGATTGTGTTGATTATCTACAATAAAAGGGACGTTGTTGCTAGAATTACAGATAGAAATCACTAGAGTGAAGTGAGAAAATATATTTGATAAACCCACAAACAAATGCATATAATAAGTCTATCTGTACACCGTAATGGTTTGTTTTGATTATATACTGCAGAAAATGTAATATAGACTATAATTAAGTTTCAGTTTTAGCTTCTATGGAGGTTATTATCATCATGTTAGATAGATGTAATCACAAGTTTCAGTCTCTGCTCTTAATTCTCCAAATGCACCAGACACAGTTGTGCACTTCTTTCCTTAATCAGCTTCAACTATACTAAATCAATCAGATCTTATCCACAGTGGCTCTCTGCTCTCCACTGTTTGTTTGGGTGTCTGTTCTGCGTTCAAGGAGCCACGCTGTAACCAAATCATACCACCAAATGTATATTCTGAGCTTTTGTGGCACCATGACATGGCCCATGGAAAGATTGAGTGAAGTAATGAGCGAATGCACAATAAGAGGACTGAGGCCGTTTGAGCAAATTGCCAACCTTTGTCTGCAGTGGAAATCTGTGAGCTGGCCTCTAATGAAGTGGTGGAGGAGGGCAATGGACGGGAAGCAAAGGAAAAGCAAAGAGTAGGGATAGACAGGTCCTACTGCAGTGATGCTAGCGCATTTAAGTGATGTTTGTGTGGTGACAGAATTGAATACTGGGAATAAATTGTTTGAAAAGAGGAGAAGAGATGAAACAGAAGAGAAGAGAGTAATTGAAATAAGGGGATTGGATTAAAGAAGAGGGAGACTACCTAATCAAAAAAGGGATAATAATAATAATAATCTTTATTTGTAGAGCACTTTTCAAAAACAAGTTACAAAGTGCTTTAACAAGTGTAAAATACAAAGGCAGAGGGAAGAGAAACAGTCAAGGCCAGAAAAGGACAGAGGAGGAGGAGTGGACTTTCCCATTTAATTTACTACCTGCAGCTTGATGTCTTCCTCAGATCACTTTATGGCCCTGAAGCCTCGTTCGTACAGTAGTTTGCAAATGGTGACTTGACCTTTCTGCTGACTAAGTAGGCCTACACATCGAGGTTTGATTTGCGACAGCGGCTGTAAGGATGGCGATGTCTGTCAATTGGGCGACTGCTTATAACATATCTACAACTATCTTGTGGATTGCCATGAAAACTTGTACAGACATTCTTAGTCCCCAGAGGATGAATCCATGTGACTTTTTAATGAAGCCTTGATGTTTCCTCTAGTGCAGTGGTCAACAATAGGCAGCCCGTGGGCCAAAGGTGGCCCTCCAGCAATAATATCTGGACTGTGGCCAGATTACTTTGATAGCGGCAAAAACATAATAATTATAGCGGCTGGTGCTGAAACAGATCTCGGTCATTACAGCAAAAGCTACTCATATAATCACTTCCTCTTAAGTGATTGTGCCTACAAAATAAAAGTACAAGAACGTTTTTGCAGCAGTACTTTATGTCGTGTGTAATTGCCAGCTTTTACTTTGAAAAGTTCTGATGGAAATTCAAAAGAGTCTCTGGCTTGCTTAACACACCTCTGAAAAAGCCATCAGAAAACGTGAGATTGAAAATTTAGCCCGATGCTAGACTTATTTGCCGGCCCCTGCTGTAGCGCCATCATTAGGTAAAACTTTTGTTTTATGACCAAATTCCTAAAAAATTGACACTCCCATCAGCCTCAGCTTTACTTTGTGTTCAGGGCTAATTAGACATTGTTAGCATGCCAATAGGAAACACTAAAATAGCAAAAATGGTTAACATGTTACTTGCTGAACATCAGCATGTAAGCGTTGTCATTGTGAACATGTTAGCATGCTGACATTAGCATTTCACACAAACCACCACTGTGCCTAAGTACAGCCTCACGTAGCTGCTAGCCCTGCATTAAAGCAACACAAGAGGCTGTGTTGGGGGGGTTGTTTCAGGTACAAGTAAGACATGAATTACAATTAAGGCAGGCCAGTTTTAGTAACAAATTATATACATATTGTATGCATGTGTGTATACTTGCTCTTCAGGTGTTTGCACACACACACATGCAGTACATATGGTGTGTGTTTGAGTGTTTAAACACAATGAAGCATGCACAGCGGACAGCCTGACCTTAACCCGACTCCCCAGCAAGTCCTGGCGAACATTTCACCCCCCCCCCCCCCCCCCCCACCCACCACCACCACCAGCTGAGTGATAATTTGTCATCCTCAGGTTTGCTGCCACCACACATTGCTGCAGGGCAATTAGGACCACTGTATGAGTCTGCTGCAGAGCATCAGGACCAGCCACCCCTGGACTCACAAACCCGAGAGAGAACCATACAGTCCTTAAAGCCACATTTCTTCTGTGTAATTTACTCTGGTCCTTCAGAAATGTTCTCTTTTGGCTCCTTAAAGAGGCAGTAAATCAGGGTTTTTATTGCCACATAACATTAAATGACCACAATATATCTGTGAGGGGTGATAGGGATGGTAATCAGTAGCAATGATTGGACCATTAATATTTAATGACATTTCTGGCTTCCAAAAGTAACTTTCAGTCCTCCAGTGTTCTCAAACCAAAAACCTCCACTGAAGAAACCAGACTAAAAACACGTGAAAATTATCACTGTTATCACAGGAAAAAGGAGTTAAAAATATATATATATATTTGAATGGATTGCCGCTTAGGGCTTCTGTACAATAGTAAGGCAAACAATGTAAATTTTCTTCATTTTTTCTTCCCTGTGATATACATGCTTACATGTTTTTAATCTCAGTGATGCATTTCTGTTCAAATAAAATGTGAAAATAAATGCTAATGTTGGCATTCCAACCTTATCAACAGAGGTTGTTTGAAGTTTTAGAGGCATCTTGTCATGAATTTTAAACAGTTGGTGGCATTCCAGAGGCAAAATACAGAGAATACAATTTTCATGTCTGCCAAATAATGACATTCAAATTTTAAATTTAAATAAAATACATACTGGCATAGATTTTCATCAATAAATCATTTATAAAGAAGGAATAACTGGCAATAACCATGGTAAGTCTGTCTTTAGCATTTAACCCAATGGTCAATTATAGATTCAAGCTGGTTTGCAGTCAATCACATTCATTGACCCATTGAAGCACTAATGACTTTGAATATAATGCTGCCAACAAAGCTACAAAACCAACAGCATACTTTTATTTTTCAAGATATTTAATCTTTGGGACAGAGTGCATTAAAATACAGCTTTCCATTGTTCATATCCTTGCCTTTCCTCAAATAAGCTCCTCAGTGTCGAGACATATTTAGTCCTTATTCTGGTTGTGGCTAAAAAAAAGGATGTGCATGGCAAACCAGGCCGCCAGCCAGGCTCTACTGTCACCAGCGCCTGAGATGCAGATCAATACCCAGATGAAGTTTTCTCTCTGCTGGAGGATCCATAATTCATACACGCTAAGGTGGTCCTGTATTTACTATCGATCAGACGGAGGTAACCGCAGCAGTATTGATAGGCCAGAGGGAGTCTCTTTCACGTCTAGAAAGCAGCTTCTGTCACAGATGAGGAGGTGAGCCTGTTTTAGGAGTAGAGACAGAGAAAGAGCAGATGGAACTGAGGAAACTACAAGTGCCTTTGTGCAAGGCATTTAACCAGGAATCATCTAGTTAACCTACTAAAAACAAATCGTTTGATAAAGTCAATTTATTCATTGAAGAAAATAAATTTTTTACCTTTTTCAAAGTTTGGGTGGCAACTTGATTATTAATTAACCTGTTTTTTTTTATCAACTAATCTACAAAATTTCAGAAAATAGAGAAAAACTTCCATTGAAACGTCAATTTACAACAAAAATAGCAAATTCTCAAGTTTTAAAAGCTGCAATCGGAGAATGTGCAGCACTTTTGCTTTAATAAGTACTTTACAAATATGGCTAGTGGTTCATTTCTTTCCAGATAACCTCACACCCGTCTCCTTTATGTTGAAAATGACTTTTCTATTGGTGGTTCAGCCGCCATGTACCATGACCAGAGACTCTGAAAGCCTAACCTCTTTCATCTGTGGAAGAACAGCGCCCTCTTCCTGTTGGCAGATTTACCTGCAAATCCAGACTGGGGGTTCACAATGTTAAATTCAGTGTCGTTACAAAGCTTTATATGAATACAAGACATACCACAAACATTAATCTATGATTAGTAATTCAGGCTTATTTCAAAGTGAGGGGGAATACCTGCACGCACAGGGACAGGTTCTGACAGATGGCCGACACCGGATGGAGGAGTGTGTCTTCCTCTGTCTCAGTGGGTCTTTGAAGCTTTTCCAGCTGGCTCTTCTTCTTCCTTCTTGTTCGTCACCTCAAGGATCTTCAGGGAACCCCGTTGCCACATAATCCTCAGAACTGCTAACGCACTGTGTTTTCATAGTTGAGAATGACAGATGCTGGTGTGTCTATTGTCATGTGGTTTTCTTCATGTAGTCCTGTATAAGTTTTGTGTGTTAAAACAGCAGTAACAGTCTGGAAGAGAGGAGGAATCAGTGTCACTTTTTTTTTACTTTGGCAGTGGTAAAGCTTGGGGTTGAAGTTACCTTTAGGTATCCAAATCAGGCCAGAAAAATAGAGGCAGATGTTCCTCCTTCAAGCAGCAACAACTGTGAATGTGCAATTATTGTCCGGATGGAAGAGTCAGTAAAACAGTATCTCTTTTCTGTCCAGGGGCCACCAAAGACATGGGTAAGATGTTGGGTGGTGAGGAGGAGAAGGACCCGGATGCAGCCAAGAAGGAGGAGGAGCGGCAGGAGGCACTGCGGCAGCAGGAGGAGGAGAGGAAGGCCAAACACGCCCGCATGGAGGCTGAGAGGGAAAAAGTACGGCAGACTATCAGGGACAAGGTAGGAAACTCTCCTCTGGTTTGACTAATGCTTCTGACTCACACCCTTTTCTACTGCAGAAACTTAACCTGTGACCTGGGGCTTCCCATGACGTAACTCCTGCAACACAGTAGCCTATAAAAAACAACTTGTCAGGGCAACGCCTTCCTGCTTATGGCCTTCATCTATTACAGGAAACTGGTGTTTTCTTAAGAATTTCATTCATTCACAGTTGAAAGTCTTGGAAACAGTATTCAGATTGTTGTGCGATACTGCAACTCTATCGCAAAAATTTAATTGGACCTGCCTTAATAGTTTTCTTCTTACTTATCAGTCACCCTAATTTTCTTTCCCTGCATGTTACCTCATCGTCCTCTCTCTGTTCAGTATGGGCTGAAGAAGAAGGAGGAGAAGGAAGCGGAGGAGAAAGCGGCCATGGAGCAGGCCTGTGAGGGGTCACTGACACGCCCCAAGAAGGCGATCCCACGGGGTTGCGGAGATGATGAGGAAGAGGATGAGGAGAGCATCCTCGACACTGTCCTCAAGTTTCTGCCAGGACCCCTACAGGACATGTTCAAGAAGTAAAAAAACAACAAAACAAATCAAACGAACCCTAAATTCAGGGTCCAGTCTGGCGTGGGCTAGGCTGCAGGGCAAAGGGAGGCAGGGATCTTTGTGTCTGGGACTGGAAAGGGTTAAGAGAAGGGTTGCAGGTTAAGGGAAAAGAGAGACTGGGAGATTGGTTCGGGGATTTTCTGAGCAGGCATGGCTTGAGTGTAGATTTGTCGACGGATTTGGGAGGGGGGTTCTTGCCAAACTGTTAGAGGCTACACACTGCCTTTCTACAAATCTTTTACTTTGGTCTTTTCTACTCCTCGACGATTGCGTCATTCTTCCCCCCTTTATTTGCCTAAATCGCTGTACAACCTTTCCACTGCCACTTAGCACATTTCTTACAATTAGTATGTATTTCGTCCGTTTCTTGTTGTTATTTTTACACAGATTAAATCAGACATTTTGATTGGTTGGCCATTATCTGTTGCCAGGCAATGGTGACCAATTGAGAGGAGTATTCCCTTAAAGAAGGGCAGTGGACGCTTCTGTCCTCTTGCTTCTGTGGTTTTGCAAATAGCATGTTTTCCAGTAGACGGAGCATGTTGTGATTATTCCAGTGGGTGTTTTCTACTTTTATGAACCTGGTGTAGTTCTTTATAATGAAAAAAAAAAAAAATCAGCATTTGAGTTTTTAGGACATGTGCCTTCATATCATATCCTCCAGCAGAGGTACTGTTAATGAGGGTTTCATTTTGTGTCAGACAGGTGTACAGTTGTTTGTAGCATGTAGGCAAGTATTCAAGGACACTTTTGGAATAATGTATTTAGATATAAAGTTGGCTAGTTGGTATGTTTTGGGGTTTCCAGAAGATGTTCAAACTAGGTACTTATGGAAATCCCAGACCAAGTTTTGAAGGTCTGACAGTCCATAAAACTATTTAAAAACATAATTCACTGTTACCTACAACGCTACAAGCTTCCGAAGAACTGTTTGCTGGAGTTTTATTTCCCTCCTAGTTAGACTGCCATCATGCTAGAGAAGTAAAATTTCAAATCTTGAACGTGTCGAGAACTCGTGTCAATACGTGAATTTTCAATCACAAGGATTAAGTAAAAGATATTATTCAGCTCAAGGTATCATCCATGCAAGCAAACACAGACAAATTTACCTTGTTTGAATCCCATTTTGAAAAATAAATCACTGCTCTTTTGTCCAGAAATTACAGAATTACACAAAGCTCAAACCAAGTCATCATGGTTTGAGGTAGTGTGGTCCCCAGAGACAATCAAAGCATTGACCACTTGGAAACAGTGGAGGTAGCCGGTACTGTAAATGTTGTCATTTCCTGTCACATCATCTACCATTGGTTCAAAGTGGGTTTCCATTAAGCACTTGATTAACTGATTGCTATTGTGGCTCTTTATTTTTTTATTTATTCCTTCACACATGAATGCAAATGCCAGGTAATGTCTGGGGTATTTTTTTTACATTATTATTACTTTCTGTGAATGTGTTGCCAATTTATTTTAATGCGACCGAAATTGTGACTCAATTCACATTCCAGCTGAGCTAACCTTTCCCCTCATCTTTTTATGCATAAATTTACCTTGATCAAAGTTCATCCACATCAAGACCAAAGAAATACTGGTTACCTTACTATTTCTTTTATCACCACCGAGACCAAGACGTGCATGCCGAACCTGGTGCCTAGTCAGCGCGTGCATGCATCCCAAAGACCACCGCTAAACTAAAATGTCTCCTATTTCTTTGAAAGTTTTCCATAAATCAAACTAGGGAGAACTGTTTTTGGAGTTGTTGCATCTCACTGCCTGAAGAGCTCACTTAGGGCTGAGTATATTCTGTATCCTGTATCTCTTAATCCAATGAAATAGCACAGTGATTTGTCACAGAGCATTTAAGTAGATGTACTGTAAATTGAAACTAGCTCAACTTAGTGAAACTACCTTAATATATGGACATTTGTTGATAAAAACAAAGCATGTTGGTTATTCCTGAATGCTCAGGTGGCTTTTCAGTGGTTAGTTATGCGGTGATGTATGATCAATACATTGTTCCATGAGTTTGAAAATTAAAATAAGACTTTAAGGAATAATAAGACTAATTAGTTATCATAAGCACTATTAAACATTTTCATTCTTTTCATTTTCTAGCTCAGATAGGACTTTTCACTAGACAAAGCCATATTGTTTAGATTGCAATAATTACTTAAAATTATAAAAAGAGAATACTTCAACATTGAAAGTCAAGTGTCTCGTGTTTGTTTTCTGTAAAAAAATTTAAATATATATATATTTCTGTTTGTAAATCCTCACCGTTCTTGTATCTTTAAACATGTATACTAATGTATACGCAAAGTCAATGTATGTAGAAAAAAGAAGCCACTGATAACTGTCTCAGTGTACATGTGTACTGTAAGTGTGTGTATGTTTATATGTATGTGTCTTCCTACGTGTCTGTGATGTGAGACCATGTCGTTGATTCAGATAGTCCTGGTTTAAACTATGTAAATGTGTCTTTGAACTATTTTGTGCACAGGCAGAAGCTAGGGCAGCTCCCTAGTTTTGCCATATTTAAAAAAATATACTGAACACATTCCTTTCAAAAATTGAGCATGCAAATGTTTGGTAGAGGAGAGAACACACCAAATGTCAAAAGACAAAAAAAATAGACAATTTCCTGTTTCTGTAGGAGTCTCCAGGCAACAGAATGTGTGCATTGGATCCAGAAAGATCAGCTGTGCAATTGGCTTGTTAAGTGTTCGATGCTATTTCGTGTCTGAGGTTTGGTGAAGCTCAAGACCGTGATCACAAAGGAGCTTCATTCAGCCCAGACACAAAGCTCATCTGTGAGCGTCACGTAGAAATTAACTAGCTGTGTCCCATTCTATGCTTTAAGTTTGTAGAATCCAAGGGAGGTTCAAATCAAGGGCAAGATGCCTCTTGGATGAGCTGCGAAACTTCTTCAAGCTTGCAGAATCAATTGGTTAAAATCATTTTTTGCCCATATGTTAATACTATAGAGTATGCAACATGTATTTCTCTGTACACCGTACTACTGTAATTTGGCAAGAAAACAATAAAACATTTGAAAACTAATGCAAGTTTTAAATTTGAAAACTGAACAACAAAGCAGCACCCGTTTCTAAAGATTTAATACCTTCCACGTCTCACAAAGCAAGACAACTTAGTCTGCAAATGGACATCTTTGATTATGCTTAATTTTGTCACATTTCTTGTGTGAATGTCTGTGAAGATTCTCAGTCATCCAGGTCATAGTTATCCAGTGAAGGTTAAAATCAAGGGCAACTGGACTTGGTTGAAGATACTTGAAGACGTTTAGCTTCTCATCCAAGAGGCTTCTTCAGAAGAACAAACGTTCTCTTGCTTTGTTAGGTGTTAAAGGTATTAAATCTTTAGAAAAGTGTTTTCTTGTTCAGTTTTCAAATTTAAAACTTGCATTAGTGTAAAAGTCATAGGCAGATAAATACACATTGTATACTTTGTAATATAAGTATATAGTGTCAAACTAATTTGCCAGACAAAATGATTTTTAACTAGCCGATTCTCCAAGCTATCAACAAACTAACTTGCGCTAGCAGGGCTAAATATCATCCTTGTTATTACGGAAAGACATCAACACTGAGATTAATTGAAAGGCTTTCAAAAGAAAATGGGGAACGTGCAATTTAAAAAACATTGATGCTGTTACTTAAATATTTGTTAGTACTAAAAAGTACTAAAAACTCCATTTCATTGTAAAACACATGTAAATTTTCATGTTTCTATGTAAGAAACCAATCTGCAGAGAGATTTATTTTAATGCAGTCACTTTTCTCATCATCAGAAACTCACCGCCCTTGTTGAAATAATGCATGAGCGTCAGCCACATAGATTCAAAAGTGCAGAAATTAAGATTTCTTATAGTGCAGTGTGCTTTCTTTGAGTTATCTGTGGAGATTCATCTTGATTTATTTTATTTATTACATTAACACAGGGATTCCCACATTCCTCCGGCAACCAAGACTAGTCCAGTTTCACTTACAGTACGTGGATTAAGTTTATTCAAGCCTTGTATCTCCCGGGTGGATAGGAAATGGGGACATAAATCCTGGACTAGGCTTAATTCATGGGCCCTTCATGGAAATTACAGCCATACATCCTCTGTATCTAAAGTCTCGAGGCGTCACAGCATGTGAACTGCCTTTGAAAAGGGCTATTATCATGTCATCTGTATGTGAGGTTAGTGGTTAACTCATCTGTCACATTTGTGCTTGTCCTAGCGTGAAGTGTTGTTTTAATTCATCCTGTTGCATGAGATACTTAGGTGTGGAAAACTGTGTTTGTGGAGCCACTGTGGCTTTTCAGTTTAGATAAATCCTTGGTTTAAAAGGCAATAGTGTAAAAGCAAGGTTCTTTCTCTATGTAGGGGGATATAAACAATAAGGATTGTTTTACATGGAATATATAAACTGTATATTTTCCTAACACAGAGGTAAATGTGGGTGAATGAGAGAGATGAAAACAGCAAGTGTAGATTTTGACATGAAGGGCCTTAGAGACATTAAACTACATCAAGTCCTGACTGGCGTTTCTCTAAAACATCCGCTCAAAGGCTACCATTACTGGAAAGCTTTTAGGGGAGACTCGCTAAAGATATTCCAACACAAAAACTGGATTATCAAAGCAACTTCTGTTGTCAGGAGCACAGAAACATTCAGAGAACTGAGAAACAGGTTTGGCTTGGAACTGCCATTGAAAACCACAGTTCATCCTCCCCTTTAAGAAGCAAATATAAATATATTATGAAATGCAATGAGGGATTAAAAGAGAGAGAACATTTTAGAAAACAAAACTTTCCTTTAAACGTTATCGTTCATCCAACTCCAAAAAGCCTGGACTTAATTTTTCTAAAAACTGTAACAATGTCATAATGATTGTCTGTTTCGTAACATTTTTACGTACACTTAGGAATACTGTTGTAACTGCCCTGCTGATTCCTGCCAGTAAATCTACAAGTGAAAGTTTACGTGTCTTGCTTGGTGAATGTTTTGCCCGAGACGCCACGTTAAGAAGCTCGTCTTATCACCTTGTTTACATTCCTTGAGATTTTGGTGAGCTCTGAGCACAACTGTTACTGTGAAGAGAAACTATCTGAATACATTCCAGTCTTTTTGTCATTTTCACAAGCATGTGTTGAAATGTTACACTAACTATGGCATCTAAGGAGTTACCACTCTCAACTACCTGTATTTTGTTTTACATCTGCCAGCTCTCTAAATAGTAAAGTAGAAAGGTATGAGATAAATGTTTCCAACACTGTAGAGACCCCGGTGCAATTCCTGGCAGCAATCCCTTTAGTTTGGCCATTTGTGCCAATCATCACAATTGTCGATGTTCGCAGGTTTGCTGATGATGTGACCTTTTCCTGGTCGCTGCACTAGATCTCGTCACTGTCCGGTGAAGCAGCTGGAGACCCCATCTGAAGGGGCTGGAATTGACATGGATTCTATGGTAAACAGGTGACAACTAAATTTGAAAAGAAATAGGGATACAAAGGGGTCCAAAACTGAAAAAGGGAATGGATTTATGTTCCTACAACTGAATCAAGAAGGTCTTTCATTTTTATTCAGGGTAAAGATAATTTCAGGGTGCAGAGATTAAGAATGTAAAATATGAGTTCTTATGCTACTTTGTCCTTAATTGCATGTCAAATACTCCATGTGGAGCCCAATCACTGTAAAACTGTCTCATCAATGGAACTGAATCATTCTTTTTGGAGGTTAAATGCATAACACTAATAAAAAAAAAAAGATTTATAAAAAGCTACCTGTGTTTTCATTCTCTGTTTTGCTTACCTTTTATTTAGTGGTATTTTTTCACAAGCCACATTGGTGTAATTAAATGCTGAGAGTTCATTGTGTTTGTTTTAATTACATGATTTAAAATGTTTGAACTCAAACTAAACAGTTGAACAGTTTCCTTCCAGGAAAAGTGCGAGGAATGGATTAAACAGCATGTCTAAAGTTTACATTATCCTTATCCAAGAATCATCGTAAAGTCCTTTTTCTTTAGACACTTCTCTTATGAAAGCAAAACATGAACTGCTGAAGGATAAATCTCAACTTTGTGTGGCTTATATTTCTATGTCTCACTATAGTAAGAATCCAAAGATGGATTCATGAGGAAAAAACAGTGTGATCTTATGAACATTTTATGCACTGTGCTAATACTGGCCAAAATAGAGCTGCAATATAAGAACAATCCAACATGGATCAAGTAACAAGGATGCTGATTTGTTGTCTGGGTATTTAACTTCTGTATTTTTACAGTGATTTAGCACGACATAAGTTAATGTAGGCCTTTGTAGCCAGCTGGAGACTAAGCCCTCTTTTACACCTTGCAATAAAATGCGTCTCGTATTCAAATTGTACCTAGATATGATATGATAACATTTACACCTGGTATTAACATGTGACTCCAGTGCCCACGTTGAGAAGGGCAAATTAGCTCAATTGCTTTTTAAAGCTGTAATAATTTCATATTATGGTAGCAATTAATTAATTCATGAATAAATATTTTATATATATTTTATATAGCTGATATTACTCTGCTGCCACTTCCCTATGTTGGGATTATTTGTAAGGATGATTTGCAGTTTGTTTTGCAGTTTGTTTTGGTGATAACTCTCACTGCCTCCCTGCTGTTCACTAGAAGCATTGGCTGGGCTTTTAGCATAATTTTTTTGTTTAATGACCTATAAAAGGTAACGTTTGCAGTAGTAGCCTCCTAGTAGAGGAGATAGTTAGATAAGGCTGGTAGCTATAGCTTTATTTTCCTAATGAGGCAAGTAGGGTCAGAGGGCCAAGGTTCACAGTTTGCTATTTAACGTAATGGTTGGAAAAAGTCAGCCGTCGCTTTTTATTTTCTCCAATACTAGGTGTGAATGTAATAAAAATATAGTTATTTATGGTGAAGAGAGGGTCATGCATCGCTCAGGGTAGGCAGGATCAAGATTCATACACTCCCCTCAATCTCCCTGATAATTAACAAACAAGGCCTCATAGCGCCCTGGGCGCCTCGCGTTTTGGCCGCCTGCTGCGCCTCGCGTTCTCGAAGGAGCGATCTGAGCGCACGGAGTTGGAATAAATTAAACTCTGGTGCACAAAAGCGCCCTAAGTCATTCAGTCAGTCGTTTTTTCCATTGTCCAATCGAATGAATGGAGAGACGGGCCCACAGTTGCACTGACGGAAGTTTACAGTTGCTTGGATTGTCCGGAGTCTGCAACAAACTTGCCCCGACTCATCCTAAAATACGCCTTAATCCGACTATCATTAGGACGAAGCTACTGGACCAACTGGTAGGCTAATACCAGTGTCTCCTCTTTCTGAGGGTCTCATGTAGGCTACACACACGGATCTCCCTTTCCCGGTCTCCTGCGTGTCTGTACACCTCTCACCCGCAGGCGCTCTGCGTTTGTCTCTTTTATTAAAGCGGATGGTTTTAGTGACAAAAGACACAGACCTGTGAGTTGTGATCAAGTTTCTGCTAATATGACAGTTATTAATTAGCGGCAAACCAAAGATTACAGTTCGCTGGCGCTTTGATTAGACTGACAGGACAGCTGATTCGGTGAAAAACGCAGCGCACTAATGTTTTCCAATTTCCACCAAAGCATTGGTGTGCGCCCCGCGTTTAGCGATTTTCGTCTTTTCGGGGCCTTAAACTGCAGATTGTGTTTTCAGTTTTCAGAAGTGGACTTCCGAAATGGCTCCTCCCACTTCGCAACGGGGATTCAAAAAGAAAATGGCGCTGATTCACCTGTGAGAGGAAGGACTAACCTCCCGGGACCATGTCAAAACCTTAACTTGTGGTACATTTTGCTTCCCATGAGGGGCGAGTCACCGTCGACAGTCGGCATGGAGCCGGCTAAACTACAGTTAATAGCAGCTACGTTGAGGTAAGAAACTAACTAAACTGGTTCACCTGTGGGGAGAGAGCTCACTTGTCCATTCCATTAATTTAATGTATTGACACCTGTAACTTTACGCTTTGCGGCTGCGCCAGCTGGATGTCGACAACGTGGACATGGCATTAGGACTTTCCCTGTCTCCCATGTGTTTAAGCAGATTTGATGGGGTTAACTGAGGTGTAATGATTATGAACTTTTTAGTGGTTATACTTTTGCATACCTCCCCAAAAACTACTGTGTCGCCGAGGATAAAGAATATGACCACAAGACTTTTCTTCTCCCACCGAAACTCACATATTTCTATACAAGGAACATCTCGGTGTTATGTATTGTGGGATGTAGGGTAGGCCTAATGAACATTTCTGTCTCAAGGGGCTGCCAGAACTACCTTTAGGCTACATCAACGTTTTTAATATCCATAGGCTATTTAAGTGTAAGGTCAGTTTAGTGGTTTGTTACCCATTCATCTCTACAACACCATAGTATGTAAAAGGCTTACATTAGGATACAGTTGTGTTAGTTTGATATGGAGAAATATTCTTGTATACCAAAGTATTATGAAGGAAGAAAATGTACAATTACAAGTAAAACGCACATTAAGGCAACTAGTTTTCCCCCAGTGACTGAATGTATTAAATAAATATTTTCTGTAATTAGTTTATTGCATTTTCAAGGGTGTTAATACAGCTCCTAGTGAATATTAATCACTAAAGGCACGGCCAACCCCCCCCCCCCCCCCCCCCAACATTTGGTCTTCACTCACTACTTTGCACAAGTATACACACATTAAGTCACTGCAGTATACACTCTACAGCACCACAAGCAGGTTGTTTTACAGCTAAATTCATATTTCAAACACAATGTAAATGTGTTCATGTTTGCCTCTGTTGGTTAGGGGGGTTGTACAGTAGAGAGGGAACTGATCGCAGAGTTGTTGTAGAAGCCTATTTGAATCAGCCTTTGCCCAAAAGCTAAGTGGGATATTGATGGGCTTCTGTTGTTGACCTCAGTGCATGAAGAATAGTGTGAACCTTGTGCCTGACAAAGTTCTGGCTCTGTGTTGAATTTCACAGATGTATGAAGAAGCTCGCCCAAGGCAAATCAGTAAATCTCTATCGAGTTATAAAACAAACAGAAATATTAATCAAACGCGTATAACACTGAAAAACAGCATTGTACCACCATTGTACATATTGTGCCTCAAAACACAAGTCATTGAGATTTTGTATTATTTATTCACCATTATCTGCGGACATTAAGTGGTTTTAATTGCCTGAACCAGAACCTAACTAGAATTTTATTTTATTTTTTTTTACGATCCACAGAAAATGGAGAAAAATCCACTTAAAATGTGACCGTAAACATTATGCAGACGTGGACAATAATCAATATAGTTTCTGATGTGTTGAAGGAAAATGTGAAGTCCCTTACTTACATTTGAGGAACAACATAAAAATATAAAAAGTGCTTAAAAGGCTGATTATTCATATAAGCCTTGGTTAGTTATGTTCAGTGACGCCCTGCTTCACACTCACTACATTTGCATACATTCACACTGTCCGGTACAAAAAGTTGCCCGCTGCCGTCCAGAAAGTCCAACCAGCTTCTCTACTCCACCGCCGCTTAAATCATTGTTCAGTTACTGCTTGCGGTGATTTGCTCTGTTACAGTTTTGTTAATCCTGAAGTCAGTGACAGATTAGTGTGTTTGTGTGTGTGGGCTGTTTGTAATTTCCAGAGACCAATAGACTTTTCTCATTAAGGGTCTTAAAATGAACGACAGCGAGAAGGGGTTTAGTGTATTTCTGTCTCCTGAGGAAAATTCAACGCAAGGCATTTATATATGGAGAGAGAGAGAGAGAGAGAGAGGCTTTATTTCAGCTTACATTTAACAGGGACATTGTAAATGCCCACAGAGGTTGTACTATATAATAATGTTTGTGTGTTCTTTCAATCTAGACCTATTTTTCTGAAGGCAGGCGTAAACACTGTATCTTGCAATAGGTGTAATTATATTTCCATTATTTCTGCTCAAAGCAACAAAATAAACAGTCCTGTGGGGAAAATATAATATTTGTTTGTCTGTTTGTTCTGAAATGTAAGGTAAGCTGAATGAAAAGCTGTTTTATTTTTCTTTCATTTTTTATTTTTTGGACAATACAAGGCTCAGCACAGAATCAAATTGTGAAATTAATTGCAAAAACAGTTAGAGATAACAATGGAAATGTTTTTTTCACATTGGCCTTGCAGCCTGTGCACAGTAACATTCAGGTTTTCATGAAATCTCACGCAGTATAACAAACTCTCAGCCCCATGACATTGTTGCAGCTTACGCATCCAAACATGAAACAAAAGGCATTTGTAACTGCCATTTTTATTTAGTTTTTCTTCTTTTACTAGCTCATTTGGGCTCATTATTGTCCAAAGTGTCTGAACTCACTCCCTCCATCACTCATGTATATAATAGATACAGACGTAGTTTACTCTAGGAGCCCATCTTTAAGATTTAAGAAATGGACAGATTATTGTCATGTTGCGTCATCACTGACCAGTGTAGAGTTCCACAAGAGTAATCGCATCAGAATTTTTCAGAGCCCAAGTTGACCAAGTTAATTGTTTAATCCACTAATCATTTCAGCCGTAATAAAGTGTAGGTTGGCGATTCCCCTGCATCATTTCAAGCAGTGTGCAGTGGCAAGGAGTTCCTGTGGTTTTATAAGGCTCGGAGCTGACTGTCTGCTGTGATTGCACGCTCTATTGTTAAAATAGAAAAACCAAAGACTAGTCTAAAAGTCTACTTTCGGCCCTGATGGCCACAATGTTCATTATATCCCACAGCGGAGGTTTTGTTGTTCTGGAAAGCTTAAAATTTAAATTGTGAAACTTGAGGAAAGGTCTTGGACAGGGGGGTAATCCTCTGTGGCTCATGAATGTACTTCATGTTCATTGAAATTCTGTGTCTTACTTTCAGGGTTAACGTTTAGTCCAGAGGGTTGCTTGACGAAGGCTGACCGCAATGGACTGACCATAATGGGAAAAGGTTGACCCTCTGAGGAGCGAGGAATGTGTTGAGGTAATTTCATAACAGTCCATTACAGTTGGAGGTTTTGACATGAAGGTGGTGCTGAACTAAGTATCGGTGGTCATTGAAATCACTACGATACGTCTTCTGGGGACCACAAATATTCAAAGCTAATTTAAAAGAAATCTGTTTCTTAGTTTTAGACATCTTGAGTAAAAGTTTCAATTAGACCTAATGTTGGTGCTGGAGGAAATCCCATGCAGTGTTAAATATGGAAAAGGTTCGTCCTCTGAGGTGAAATATATTCTGTAAATGTCACAGTAAGGCTCTTGTGGTAGTAATTCTGATCTGATGGTGGTGTTAAACTAGAGGTCTGAGTTCACCAAAGTCATTCTGGATCATTCTCTGTGGACCATAGTTGTGAGATATCTTGCTCTAGACCAAAGTACTGGAAAGCTGGATCATCATCTTTAGATGATGAAAAGGAAAGCAGTAATCTTGAAAAACAAGTTGAGGAAATGCTGAAAGTTTCTCATTTTTAAACCACATTTTTGAAGTATTTGTAACGAGTAACTAGGGAGAATCTTTGGCTGCATCCGTTCCCACGTTTGAACTGAAGCCATCAGCCAACACATGGAGCCATAAAGTGTAGGATGGAAGCAGATGATGGGTTTGGGTTGGACTGTGTGTTTCCGTGTCGGTCCCTTTATTTTGCGTGCAGGGGTGGGACGCTCAGCTGCACTGGGACACAGCCAGGAGGGAAAATCACAGACATTTGAACTGAAAATGAAGACAGGGAAGAAACCGAAGTAGATGGGGGACATGAAGGAGGGTGACCGGTGGAGCTTGATGGATGACAAAGCAGCCGACACACAAAATTATAGCTGTGAGTTGCAGGCGGGATAAAATGCAGAAAGTGTCTAATTTTCTCACCTGGTTGAAATGGCAGCTTTAACAGCCACTGCACTAATGCAGATGCATCTAAAACATCTTCTACATTCTGTTACTTGATGCTAGAATATCTGTGAGTCTTTAACCCTTTGATGCACAAGCTATGCAAACCCCTTCTAATGCATAACATGGGTAACATTTGGATTGTTCGTTTTGCTATATCTTTTGAAATTATTTTATTTCATTATTTAATATTTCATGTTGGCATTACATATCTTTTTTAATTACCACAAACAATTATTTCTATTGCATTACATTTCTTAGTGTATGAACAAACATGTTTTTTGTATTCTACATCAATTTTACACACATGGGCCAAAAATGACCCGTATGTTTTTACATGTTTGATATTTATTTTATATTTTGATATTTGTGAATGTTTGCAATTAGGAATGTATTTACTGCAGACCACTATTCACCTGCCACACATTTCATAACTGAACATGCATTAAATGTGCAAAAGCAGCCGTGTTCACCCTCTCATGCATAAATAATTAAAAACATTATCTAGACTTTTTAAAGATTCTATTAGTACTTGAAATTGGGCTAATATCCAAATCCATTCTGTTTTTATTTTTAAATTATTTAACTGTCCACATAAGTGGACACCAGGCAACAAAGGAGTAAAATGCCACACCTGACAATACGGAATAGTATGTTTTTATGTCATGTTATGCCATGTATTTAAAACTCATATTTTAGGAACAAATAGAGTAAAAACACTCACAGTGGTATTTATCATCATAGTTACAAGTATGCAGAAAGCCAGTAGCATATTGTTATCTAACTTCATGTTGAATCATCTCAGTTTTAACATATCAACATGTAACAGATAAGACAGTTCTACTTGAAACTGATTTCTCTACAGTATGTGAGTAAAATTCTTATTTCTTATAAAGGCCGCAAAGCAGTCAAAAGTTGCTGTTTAATGCTGTAATATGCACTTTTGCATTGTTATTTATGTTTATATATTTGTTAAATGTCTGTTTTATAATACAATTCATCACATCTTTGAAAAAGTAGAATAGATATACTGGCATACTCCACTGTTGCACGATGTCCACATAGGAGGACAGTTGGTTTTTGGTGTATAATAACTACATTTTCTCTAAATTAAATACCTCGATTGACTCCTTGAATAAAGGTTTTTCACAGATATGCCTGAGGCATTTAGCGCATGGTCATCACAATCGGCCACAGTCGTTTGATGAGGTCATCAGTCAATAAATATTTGGAAAACAAGAGTAACCACTCTTACAATGTTGCTATCAATCAACTGACCGTGTCCTCAAATGACTTTGAGAACATCACCATGATATAGTAGCCCCAAAATGGAGTAAATGTAACTGTCCACAAATGTGGACAACATGCCTGAAAGGGTTGGGGTGGCGATGGCGCACTGGATAGGACGCATGAGTTTGGTGTGGGAACGTGTGCATAGCAATTGTAAATCGCTTTGGATAAAAGCGTCAGCTAAATGACTAATTATTAAGAAATGTGTGGCAGGTGAACAGTGGCAGTACATATGTTCCTAATTGAACATCAAGTTCCTATGAAATTCCATTATGAAAACATACAGGTCATTTTTGACCCATTTGTGTAAAATTGATGTACAAAGATATGTAATGACAATCGAAATATTAAATGATGAAATAAAATTATTTGCAAAGATAAACAGCCACACATGAAATTACAACTGTAGGAAATGAATACAGGTAATATATTTTTTTTTTTTTTACCCATGTTGTGCACTAGTAATATAGTGATACAAAAAATATTTTTATTGAAAAAGTAAGAAAGGACAAATGTAAATAACGATTTGTTATGATCAAAAAAAGTTAATTTAGGAATACTGAATGATTAAATAAAGTTATTGTAAAGATATAGAAAATAAAAACTCACTTTTTACCCATGTTAAGGGTTAAACAAGTTGATTTGTTCTGAAAACACGCTGAAATTATGTTACTAATAAGACTTTTAGGTTTCAACAGACTTGATAAGACATTCCTGCGGTATGTAATCTAACATTTTAAATTATAGTAGAATACTAAGTGTATATATATATTTTTTTTATAGCAAAATATAATGCATCAACATACCAGTACATCTGTGCCACCTAGTGTATGTAAGGAGCTGTTGCACCCTTTATGGAGTCTTTGGGCCAGCTTTTCATGCCATACTGTAATACCACAATTACCAATTTAGAGTAATGTTGGAGTCAAACAGGGAATTTGTCAATCCTGAAGGAAACATAATCTAAATAATGGAAGTTAAGGGGGGTATTTTCTATAGTGTTGGTACAATGGTGCTTTCAGTGGAATTATGCAACAGCATTAATTTAGCTGATGCTTTTATCCAAAGTGACTTTGCTATGTACACTGACCGGCCACTTTATTAGGTACACCTGTTCAATTGCTTGTTAACACAAATGGCTAATCAGCCAATCATCAGCCAAACAGCACTGTGCTCCAATTGCCTCTATGGTCATATTTAAAATGCATCTGTAGAAGTGAGGATATTTGTGGTCCTGGCTTCTTTGTAGCATCTTGGGAACATTTAAAAGCGATAGCATTAACATATCGAAAGGTCAAACACGGGGGCTGTGATTTGGGTGAGCTACAGCCTGACCCGACCTCAAACCAAATCCCAGCTGCTGATGTGTTTTCACATCAGAAAGCGTGTCAACATGAGTCTCATTTACATTTAAAGTGCTTACTGCTCCCTCTTCTGTTGTTTAGCCCACGCTCATCAAGAGTGACTTGAGATGAATAAAGTCACTCTTGTATTCATTACAAGAGTTGAAACAACAGGAGATTGACTTTTGTGTTTATAGAAATAAAATCAAAAGAATACAGATTTAGTAGAGCTCATAGAAATTTTGTTGTTTAACTCCTTAATTTTTAAGGCTGCAGTTTTATTCTTGTCATGTTATATCTTATTTGAGATTGCAATTTCAAAATACAAATGTGTATATGGAGATTTGGTTCTTTCAAAATCAATCGACAAATTATTATAGTGAGGAATTTTTTTTTTTTTTTAGAATAAACTACCTGACAAACCAAAATACTCAATGCAGAAATCATAAAAATCCATACATTTAAGTAAAGCAATTCTGCTCATGGATTTATAACAATGTGATGTTTGATGAATTCATGAGCAGAACTGGTATGAGTAAGGCAAAGTCTGTGATGCTCTCAACCATAATATTGTCCAATCACCCAACTCTAGTGAAGGACAGTTTCTATTCCTAAATCTAATTCCTAGTGCAGTTTTATTTGGCACACTAGTTATTCTCATGATTTTTAAGGGCCCGGCATGTCAGGCAGTGAAGATTCATACATCTAACCTAGTTTTTCTTGAAACCTCATTTATGATTTTACCTTTATCTTGCTAGCTAACAGTAAAGCTGGTGACCTCTGACGCAGACTGCTAATTGGTATTTTAATGCTTACAAAAATCTTTGTCTCCAAATCCTTAAAACAAAATCACAATTGTCACAGTTGGACCTTCAACCACACTGACTCACAGAACCCAAATTTTAGTTTTCTCCAGGTATTGCAGGCCACTGAAATTTTGTCCTGAGTCTAATAAGATAGACAATATGCACTGAGTGCTTCTTACTGTAAACAGGACTGGAAGCTGTTGAGGCGCTTACTTTGAGGCTGCATTGCCTCAGCAAGGTTAGCTTTGTCAGACTGACTGGTAACATTTACCCAACAGTCTTCTGCTAATATATTGGTGTCAACAAATAAATAAAAGTAAAGTCTTACTACTAATAGTTTACTTGTTTTCGGGGTTTTTTTTTTGTAGATTTCCTTGGATACTGAACTCCAGTTGACAACCAGCTTGAATGCAGATTAACAGAACTGTGACGGCTGCAGCCTGACTTTGTGTTGTGAAACGCTGCCATCTAGTGGACACTGTAACATCACAGGGAGGTTAAGTACACAACACAGAGCGTTCAGTTTACTGTAGTTATGACAGTGACCTCAGAGCTTTAGACTCTTATGTGCAGGGGCCAACTTCGGGGTGCATTTCTACTCCCGCCTGAATCATCCCACCAGGCTCTGTTACAACTTGAAAATCAACCCCTTCCTTTTAAGACGTGAAAACATCTTGTGTTCATCTCGTTACAGTTCATGTATGCATGCAGCGGTTGTCACATGGCATGTTGTAACATGAGCTGCAGAGTAGATCAGATTCAGAAAAGCAATAGGACCACTGATGCGTTTAAAAGCTTTCTTTATTTACAGTAAGACACTTCTGGCTCTCCACCATCTGGAATGGCAGTTAACATATTTACATGATAAGAACATTATTTAAAATATAACTACAAGGCAGGCAAATGCATTTCTTTAAAGACATTCCCTCCAAAATGTGAAATATCCAATAAGTGTTAGTTTACGACAAGTTAGGGTCTGCAGGAAAGTTTTAACAGATTAAATGTGAGTGCAAAATGTTGTTGTTTTTTTAAACCATTGGAAGATATTTTTCATTGAGGATTTCTTCGTTTTAGAATGAAACTACTTTTGTGCATCATTGGCTAGAAATTTAACAGTTAGTGACTTTATACAGCAACATTGAGATTTTGCTGCAAAGCTTCCTGTGTATCTGAATTCATGAATTTTAATCGTATAATGGGAAGAAGATTAATGTGAATTTAGAATGAACTCTTCTTAATATAAGAAACAAACATTATGTACAAGCGGACGGAAGCACACGCAGTCCATGTGCACCTGAAAGCGACAATTTATGTTGTGAATTAATGTCATTTTCAATGCTTCATAATGATTTTCAATACAACATAAGAGCAGTTGATTCAATGCAAATGGAAAAAACAAAATCCAAAAAACTAAAATGTATCAACGTCATTTAAGTTTGATCATTCTGATCAGGTGCAAACAAGCAAAAATACAGCGGAACGTAAAACAAAACTGAAACAACCTAAAGACTGAGAGCAAACTAAGAGTAAAAGCAATACAAATGTTACATTTAGACTACTTCATCTTGCTCAGATCAAAGTGCAAAGCTCCCTTCTTACTGATAATTGACTCTACACAGACCACATGATGACCAACATTGATTTGGTGATTTGCAGGTCACGAGACGTCTCGGGTAAAACAATTTCTTTTAGACTTCATATTGCAATTGCCCTCACAGGGATAAATAAAGTTTTATTAAACTGAATCAATTCAATTTCTATAAAATACTAAACAAAAAAAACCATCCACCTCTCTGGACTCTAACCTAAACATTTAGAATGCTTTCGAGAAAAATCAATACTGTTTTTTATAATGTGTAATAACAAAATATTATAGTGTTACTTATTTATCTCAGGGTCACACAGAACTATAATGGTTTCTTCCACGTGTCTTTGTCAAAGTAAAGTTCTGTTACAGGGTAGACTGATCCCAAACTCACAACATAACCTACCTCGGCAGCAACACAGAGTTCTTTGGTATTAGAAATACTCAACTCCTCCATTTAAATAATGAGAATGCTAAAAACCAAAATCATCCATGTGCTTTTAGTGCAAGTTAGCTTTGTTATACTAATATTTTAGAATTTCCCATGTCAGCATATATTTGACAACTACTGCTATGTTATTTTTCATCATGCTTTTACTGCCAAAAACAACATTAATGTCACTTTGAATGATGTTCATAAGATAATCTATAGTCATTTTAATAGCCACTGAACACCCAGAGATACTAGAGGGGCTGATGTAGTTTCTATCCAGGACTTTATGCCATTTAAATAACCATGTAGCTTTACGTACAGAGCAATACTGGCTTGACGGCAAAATCAGACTATGGAATTGAACATGCAGTTTTCTCATGCCAGTTAAGTGTTGGCACAAAATGTACTGTCAAAAAGCAGTGATGGGTAACACGTTGGCATTAATCGTGTAATCGAGTCCAGCCTCGGACTCAAATCCCCCCCTTTAGACCTGTAGTAGCTTAACACACCACATAAGAGCGCAGCACTGCCGTCGAGGCTCCGTCCAGGAACACATGGATGACTTTGGTGTCCTAATTCTTAGTTTATAAAAAGGTTCAGTGTGTAAATTTTAGTGGCCTCTAGTGGTGAGGGTAGTGAATTGCAACCAGCGGCTGAGTCGGCGCTCACCCCTCACTGTCCAAGCGTGTAGGAGAAACTACGGTGGCAGAAGACATTCTGTCTGCTCTTGTGCTAAATAATTATTAATACATTTTACTCATCTTGCTTCTTCTAAACCAGACAACAACTTTGTCCATTTGGGCTACTGTAGAAACATGGCGACTTCCATGTAAGGGGGACCTGCGGTGTATGATATGTAGATAGAAAACACTTCACTATGTAAGGTCTTTCTGAAAACATAGTTATGGATATTATATTGCATTTCTGTCAATAGATCCTCCTAAATATCACACACCGAACCTTTTAACAGGACAACCATCCAAAACTAAAAGTGCTAGTTTAAAACATCTTTGATCAAACAATCTTTGTGTGACAATTTGGTCAGTATATATCTCGGCGCTACAATATTTCATTACTTCACAGCGAAGCGTTCAAAGGCTGTGGGGCCGTCTGCACGCCGGGCTTAGTGATGTCTATCTTTGTGGGGGGAAAAAATAGTATCCCTGTTGCACGATCTAATACTGCGACTAGTAGCAGCTATGACGCATTGTACCGAGAGTTGCTACGCCGTTGACATTGCTATGCTGAACTCCCATTTACCGGCGCTCTTGCAGATTATTTTAACCAGCACCACAGAACACCGTTATTGTACCTGCTCAGAAGGGTTTTTTTTAGCCATGACAGGCCACTTGCTGTCTCGTCATTTACAGAACGGGTTAATTTAGGGAAAAGATTTAAGGATAGGAAATCTCGTGGCTATGAAAATGTTGGTCAGCACAGCTGAACACATGATTCATATCCTCTCTGGCTTCACCCTGAATACATTGTGCAAGCTGTGGAATCTAAAAGGGGAAGTCAGAATGCCAATATGCATTTGCTACGCATCATCCCGTAACATTACTCTGATGGACAACTGCAGTAAAGACTTGTCAGTTGATTGAAACAATTCAGCTCAGCTATAATTAAACAATCTCAATAAGTTGTATTTCCGTAGATGTACATCTCCAAAGGACTGGTACGTTCCCATTACTCTCACACCTGATAGCTTGACGATCGTGTAGCCTGTTTATTAGACGCGCCATTTTTTTCCTGGTTTGTTTAGTCCTCTGCAAGACTTCATCCCTCACAGGAAGCGTTTCAGGAGTGGAGCATTTTGTCTGCCTGGTTTTGCCCACTTTCTCAGATTTTGTTGATTTTGGTAATTTTTCCTTGATTTTTGTGCTTCTACCATGGGTAAATGGGCTACGTAGTTAACTGGTTTCTTTCTTTGTCTGTCTTAATTGTAAAGATAGGACCTCTGTCAAAAATAGATGCATTTTCTGTATGGTGAAATCACAAGCATTGTCAAACGGCCACGATCGTCTCCGACCGCTCCGCCGTAGCCGTGGTGTGTTCAGTGTTTTTTGCATCAGCTCAGAAGCAGCTGACCCACAGCTACAATAAACTGCAACCAATCTCTTGCCACAAAGAAACTGAGGTCTTTTTGCTGTGCACTCAATTGCCAAAAATCGGAGTGGGATTTCTTTTACCACCAACATGTTTCCTTTTGTCCTAGAGCCCCCTGAAGAACTGCAGGGAGAGTTCGTAGGTCAGGAACATGGTGGCGCTCATCGGGAAGCCTCTGATGGCATTTACTGACGCTCCGCGGAAGAAAACCTGCACACAAGAACGCACAGTTTCAGTGAACTACATTTTTATCTTTTGTTATTAAAAGAAACAACTCGGGCATTAACATCCGCTGGAAATATTTAAACCAGTAAAAAGGGCCTGTAAAAAATAAAACAATGATAATTATAGCAATATATTTTTACCCTATAACAATGTTGATTTAACTCATTTGAATCACAGATGAATTAGCACTTATTTTGGAATGAGGATATTTATTTTGTTTAATTTTACTTGTGCACATTTGTTTAGAAAAAGATATTATTAATTGTTTTTAATGTTCTATCTCTGTTTTGCAAGTGTTTATCATGCTCATGTATCATGTGAAAAGTTTAAAACCATAATTAACCACCTGGTTTCTTCAGCTTTCACTCAGGAGCAAAAATCTGCTTTTAAACTTTAAAATGATTTTACATTGATCATGAAAATTATTGATATTGAATGTTGTTTTTTTTATAGTGATAACACTTTTGCTCAGCCCTAGTCAGAACTGATGAAAAATGTACCTTTTGCACAGACAAGAGATGCAACAAGAGATATGTCTGGTACTGTTTTGGATCCAGTTCCAGTTTGGAAAAATACCCAGATTTGTTAAGATCCGATTCTAGAAAATCACTTTTTATCTCTCTTCTTAATCAGAAAATATTCAGGTAACATTAGCAAGCTTCAAATATTTTGCTAGCTCTTACGGTCACGTTCACCGGTTAAAACAAATATCATGGAGGCGGATTATCAGATGTTAATGTTATTCTGTAACAGCCAGGGCTGCAGTCATTTCCATGAGGTTAAATTTGCTGATGAATCCAGAAAAGAAACAGAACTCTGCAACGCGGCTCTGCAACTGTGCTATTTTGTATTTCAATAAGACCGCATCAAATGCAGGTAGCTTGTGAAAAATGTCAAATTAAGAGGACTACAGCTGTTTAATGTGTCAGATACGTTTCATCAATATTTTATGCTGTTAATCATATTTTATCTACAGGTTGTGAACATTATGTTACCACTAAAAACTAGTAAATGAGTATTTGTGGCGTCTTATTCTTGGGGGTTTAACTTATTTATAACTTTAGTTGATTGTGAATCAGTTGTCATTTTTATAAATCTTGTTTTCAACAGTGATATTGTTTTACTTTTGCTAATGTTCATTTTAGTTTTGTTTGCTCACTTTTTGAATTTCACAAATACCAAATAAAATGAAATGATAAAATGCTTATGTATTAATTTCTCCATGGCTACAATAAACAAGAGCCTTACACAGGTCTCACTAAAAAAAACAAACAATGGTGTTTGTTATTTTGCCTTGGAGGATACTGTCCTTTAATAATCTGACTTATTGATCTGAACAACGGATCTCATGAGCAGTTTACTCCACTTTCTTACAACAGCCATGACTTTGTTACTGATCACATGATTGTTTTTTCATTCTGGACAGTTTATCTACATCTCGTAACCTTTGACATTACAAACATTAGTAGGTTCACATTAGACTCAACAGCTGCATCACTTACTTCTGCTGATCCATCAAAAGCATTTCACCACGTTTGTTGTTTTTTTTATTATAATGTAACATGTTTTTTTTAATCTGATCAGTCACTCTCTGATTAGAGGTTTTCTTTTTCGACTGTACGTGTAGATGTGCTGACCTGGCTGCCGATGTTGTAACATGACCTATACAAAAAAACAGAAGGCTTGTCTGGATGCTGAGCTTTCATTGGCTGACAGAATGACGTGGTCCAGTGCACTTCAGGGTATTCAAGCTCTGGGAACTCTGCTCGACTCCCATCTGGGTTACATTGTTTTCTAGGGTTTTAACTTGAAACGATCTGTTTCATTCACAGCAGCTAGTACAGTAAGCCTGGGCTGTAATGGTGTTTCATGTAGATTCAAGTCTCTAAAATACAGAAATGAAATCAAAGTTATCTGCTTATTTTAAGAGGCATTTTGTTAGACTTTAGAATTTTTGAATTGCAATCTGGGAAATTTATCTTAATCTGGGCCAGTTTAAATACAAAGTGAGGTATTCAATTATAATAATTTTTGTCAAGTTCAGCAAATATCTCCTCACGTTCTGCTAGCTGTTTGTTCTGTGTGCGCTAAAAAGAAGACTGGAGTTTGTACACAGCACTGGCTCTGTAAATGGGGAAACAAGGGCTCAGACAGAGTCGCACAACCATATTCCAGCCATGAAGTCCATTCTGTATGTTAGCTTAGCAGCAGCAACAGTTTGCTGACCCTCAGGCCCCAATCCACACCACTGCGGTTTTGGTTTTAAAACTGAGACCTTTTTCTACGTCTGCATCTCCTGTCCAGACTAAATCGGTAAAAACGAAGACCTAAAACTTTTAGTGCGTACGGGCAAAAACTTTAGAAACGACGCAGACGTTCACGTTCGGCTCTCTGATTGGGTCTTATAAGTCATGCAAAGCAGAAACACGATGCTACTGACAGTGTTTTTGAGTTTTTGATTTGATATTTTTATTAAAATATTTTGTACTGTGCAAATAACACTCATAGCCTACACTTGTACAACTGTGTGTGTCGCCGTTTACTTTGCGACGACTTCCAGTCTGTTTTCCGCCGCCACTTTTACCTCCATTCAGTAGCCCAACAGTCCCAGCTCATTACTGGTCCATGCAAAATAAAATCTGGTGTGGTTATTCGTCTGTAGTACTTTATTCTTTCGCCAAAACTTGACAAGAATTTCCCCTCGGGGGATCAATAAAGTATTTCTGATTCTTCTGTAACTACGGAATAGACCATCTGCTTCATGTTTACGCCGGCACGCACATGCCCAGTGTACGTGAACGGCCACTAGATGTGCGTTTTCAGTTGTTTTCGTATAGACTGAGATCAACGATGGGGATCGTATTCGTGTCAAAACTCGGTAGCGCGGGTGGCTCCTCAGCTAACATTAGTTACACATTACACTTTCTGTTTCGTTGTTTGCTCTATGTCTTTGTCGTGGTAATGGATTTCTCTAGAATCGCATCCCCCACCTTTAATCAAGCCTGGCACTGTTGACCTTTCCAGCTGTACAAGCTAATAAAACGGTCTGGAATTATAACTAAGCAGTATAAAGAACAAACGTAGTGCTGCAGGGTTTTTAAACAAATCATGGTTCGTACATTCTATCAACACGAAGATACTAAAGCTAACTTTACCTAATCATATCCTTTTGCCAAACTTTATTTCTGCTTGAGGTGAGGAGGCCCATTTCTGCTATAAAACTCTGCAAACACCTCGTGCTTCTGACTGGATATAAAATCTATAGGATAATCAGCGTTTTAAAGGCTTAGACTCTAATATGTTGAATTTAAGAATTGTTGATATTATAAAAGACCTGCAGATATTTTGCTAAATTAATCACTCAACAAATTGTCAAATGACGCCAATTTCTGTCAAATGTAAAACGTGCTTCCTTACTGAGGCACTGCACTCTATACATACACGTTGCTGTAACTTTTCTGTACCTTTTTTTTAATGTAATAATGCTCTATTAACAGTAGCTTGGACCCCCATCTGTCAAATATGGTGGGAAAGTCTTTTGACTTTTAAAATGCATGCCATCACAACAGAATCACTGTGTTTGTAATTAACATTTTTAGGGTTGTATTGTTCCTGCTGTAAACCAAACTTCTCTTTCTCCGCTCACCTGAGCGCCCTCTGTCTTGTAGCTGAGGATGATGCAGTGTAAAATTCCCCTGTACTTCCTCTGCGGCTGAGCGTCCGCCTGCATTCGACTCTTCACCACATCAGCTGGCGTGGCCGTGACCCAGGAAATGGACCCTGAAGTAGAGAAAAACATCATCAATTCCCGGCCGCAAGGAACAAGGAAAACTACAAACGCCACTCAGTTTCTAAGTTCTAGCTAGAAAACACGGACATTTTTCAACAAACAAAATCAAGCTTATGGAATATAATGTGTTATATGCAAGATATAATGAAAATTGTGCTTGGATAGATTTACCATAATTAGCCTTTTTTCTAAGCAGGACCACAGGTACACAAGGAAGTCAAAGACTGGAAATTTCAATGGGGAACTTATAACTTTGATTGTTGTTATACTGTTTTTCATTCAGAGTTCAGGCTGTAACTCCACATGAGAAAATCTAACCTACTAAAACCAATGATGCACTCAGGTGCTTCTCATAAAGGTTATATATTCATTCAGACAGCTGACCAAGTGGAAAAGTACCTGTACGGTAAAAACAACATCAGGCATGCCAGCGGTATCATTTGAAGTTGCACCTCAGCTGACACATTTTATAGTCAAATATCTACACCAGCCAATTAGGAATTAAAGAAAGTAGAAAGTATCAAAATTTTAGCGGAAATTAAATACTTTTAGAAAATGTGAAATAATGGCTATACAAGAATCTTGGGCTTTGCTCAGACAACAACTGATTGCAGGCTGAACATCCAAACCTCACTGATTTATGGCACCCAGCTAAATTCTCTCTCTTTTCTGATGTTTTGACTATCACATGTTCAGATGTGGCCAGCCTGCATCTGGAAACAAGTGTGCTTCAACCTCCACAGGCCACAGGCCCCCCACTGTTTATCCACTGCACGCACAGCTCATATTCACTCGGGCGGAACCATGTGGTTGGCTGGAAGTTTACACACCCCCTCCTGCTCTACAACTCAGTGCAGTTGAGGAGGTTTGACTTCTACAAAACATGTTGGAAGAAAAACACCATCAGGATCCTTACTTTTAGAGCTTGAGTTGTGATGTTTTCACATCAGTAGATGGCAAATGGTTTATGATTTCTGCCTAAAATTACTTGAAATTGGATCATAAACCTGCAAAGCTCCTTTCAAAAAAAAAAAAATTCCTATCTATCTGCACAAACGGAAACCATCAATACTGCTGACTGTCCTGATCAAGACCAATCTACACTGTAAGTTAAACAGGCTTGTAGCTGCACAGACAACACCTACAAGAAAAAGAATGTGACAGCCAAGATGATAAATTCATGTGTGTAAAGTTAAAGACACACTTACTGCAGTTCTACATTCGTTACTGAACCAGTTTAATATATTACTATTTAAGCAAACTTTGGGGATTTAGAGCAAACATCACTTTTACACCACTGTCTTTCCAAACCAATTATACTGTGTATTTTTTTTACTCCAACATGCTCCGCTTAATACACCTTGTTATATTTATTTACTGGAATAAAATACGCCCCGCGACCCTGTACGCAGGACAAGCGGTTGACGATGGATGGATGGATGGATGGAATAAAATACGTTCCATCAAGGCACCAAGTTTGTGCCTCACATTTGAGCTGCAACTATACGTTTACTGATCAATTTGTGAGGATTTGAGAGCTACGGCGGGACGTGTGTGTGTTTTCTAACATTTTATAGACTTGAAGAATTATAGATTAACTGTCAAAATATTGGCAGATTAATAAATAATGGAAATACTTGCAGCCGTTAAATAGGCTGACCAAGAAAGTAGTTTGGTGTTCATTCAGAAACAGTTTGAGATCATGCCAAATTCCATTTAGTTGGGCGTGTACTGCCGGCTTCAGTTGCAATATAGTCTGGAATCTGCAGCTGTTCTGGCTCGTCATGCTTGATAGATACTGTATGCGAGATCTCAGCGCAGATAACGTCTTTTAATCCCCTTCCACTTAATCTAAAGAAGCACACTCAACAACACACTTTCAGACATTTCCCTCCAAGTCCCTCCAGTATGGTGGCCTCTCCGTCTGCATTACTAAAACATAACGGGTCATTTTATGGTTGCTCTGAAGAAAACAGCTATTATATACCTGAATTAGCTTCAAACTTCAATGTATTTATGGCAAAATTACTTTTGGATTGATTGTTTTTACTGTGCATGCTGGCCCAAATCAGAAACACAGACGTACTCTGTACATAAGGTTATAATTTAACTGGCTTCAGTTCCAACCCACACAAAGCAAAGCATCAGCACTTTTACACCCTGTATGAATCACTTTCTGCCTCATGACCTGCTATACTATAAATGTTACTGATCCCGAATGTTTAGCTTTACTTGTCTTCACATGTTTGATTCCTGAGTCTGTGGCTTCTAGCCTCGATTAAACCTGTCCGACATCAGTGAGCGGATGGCTTCAGGCAAACCGAACCATACTAATGAAATATAAATAACCTACTATACATTGCTGCGCTTTAATTTAAAAGACAGGCTGTGAGATTTACCTGCTAGTCCTCCAGCCAGCCCGATGAAACACGGATGGGGGCTTGACGTGGCGTCTGGCTTCAGCAGGTCGCAGAAGATGGTGTAAGGGATGAAGTAGAGCATGTATCCAGGAACGTCCCTCAGGATCATGGCCCCGGCTCCCCTGTACAGGCCCTGCAGGCCCTCGGTCTGCAGGATGCTAATGATGCAATGGATGGGACCTCGGTAGAGTCTCTGGCTATGGATGTCGACGGAGCGCAGAGGGATGTTGGTGCAGCTCGATACGTTGCCAGCAAGGTGCACGTTCTCTGTAGAAAAGGAATTAAATGTGATTGGCAGGTCATGCTAAGTTGATGAAACCGTAACAGCTCAACTCTGACTCTCACAGTAAGAACCTTGCTGTTTCCATTGGGAGTGGAACCAGCAACCCTGGCAGTGTTCACGCAAAGCTCCACTAATTAAAAATGTGGGATGTTGCAGATACTTCCTGGGATCGTCAGGACACATTCACTGTGGATGGCAGTTCCAGTAAAATGAGGTTATAATAAAGTTTTTATTGTAGTGATAAAAAAAAGGCTTATTGCTCTGTACACAGTCATGTAACAAGTATCGGGTTTCTCAAATCAGAACAATTCAGATACATTAATCACACAAAAGTCTGCTGAAAGTACAGTACATGTTGCAAGAAACGTTCTGGCACGGATCTATTGAGACAAGGCCAAAGTGTCTTTGAGGAAACGTTTCCACTTGATGACAGCTATGAAGAGCGTGAGCTTTACAGACACTGTAAACACATACAAAGCTCTAAATGTTTCACGTGCCATTTTATTTTACCTTTAAAGTGCTCTGCTTTACTGTTAAAACGAAAAGATGAAACCCAGACAACACACCTTCACCCAAAATATAACCCTCTAGTATCAAATACCCTCCCCTGAAGGTTTGAAAGGAATCCTGAGAACTTAGCAAACCATTCCTGCAGCATAACTGACTTCTCGACTGCCCATCTGTAATCTCAGTATAATCCAAATGCCTAAAAACCAATTTGACCACAGCAGGAGGATACTGCTAACAGCTACATTTCGAGACAGCAGGGGGTGAGTGAGTGATTATTTTGGGTGGATTATTGTTTTCAGACTGCAACTAATTAATAAAGTGTAAATATCAAACGACCAGAACTTGCTGCTCTGAAAGTAAAGAGTGCGATGAGGTTGAAATGTTTCCAAATCACTATCTGGAGTTGTGTCCCAGTTAAATTTTATTTATTTTTTTACAGCGTCAGTGTCTCTTCTCAGCACTTGGTGGTTGTGTCATAATGACATTCGGCTATTTGATGACCGTGAACTGCTTCAGGACAACAGTCAGTTTGAAGGGCACAGTGACTGGCTTACTGATCATGACAGGACATGACCCAGCAAGTGTGTTCCTTCACACAGGGTACAGTTTATTTATTAGATTTTGAACATATTTTTCTTCTTCTTCAAAGTTTAAGAAAATAAACCTGGACAAATTAAAATCATTTGTAGCTGGTTGGGCCACGCTGGGTCTGCACAGGCTTAGACTATGTGTCAGAAAACCAGAGAAAAAATCTTTTTAGCTTTGAATAAAGTGTTGTTTTTGTTTCTGCTGCCTCAGGTAAAGAGGAAAATCAAGTCGAAACAAACAGACCCCTAATTTACCTGCTAGATCCGTCTGAGTCTGCATTTGCAGTCTGATCTTCACCAGATCCACCGGGGCTCCCAGGCCCACTGATACCAGTCCAGTCAGCATGCTGGCCACAGTCAGGTCCAGCATGCCACAGGGATGCCGCCCATCGCCATAACGATACTTGCTTATAAGTCTCTGTGTGTTACTGAAGAAGCCAAACACCACTGAGTTGTAGACGGTGATGCTGGCCAGCGGGAAAGACATGCCTTTAAAGAAGCCCATGGCCTGAGAAACACAAAGACAGAAAGGAAGGAGAGTTAATGACAGACAGTTTATAACTGTTCACAATAAACACAACTGAAAACCTTCCATTTTTAAACTCTAAAGTATACTCAGATTTTTCTTCGGCCTGTGCCAAGAACGCACAGAATGAAAAATGAGGCGGGATTTAGCGGCCAAATATTGTGAGTCTTTTCTTTGTGGAAAGTACTCCGTCTCAGCTGGGGAGAGGTTGGAGTTTGGAAGTCACATGTTGAAACTTAAAACACAGCTGCCAACGACATAGAAATCATCTGGCGTCTGAGGAAAGCAGACCTGTGGTTTCTTGGACAGGGAGTGTGGGGCCGCAACAGTGTGTAAACACTGGAAAACAATGAAACGGATATCATGAACACTTTTCTTAAGTTCTCAGCAACTATATTAATCACGCCTATTGCACGATTAAACTTCAATCATTGTCCTTTTACTGTAAATATGTAACTGTAACCGATCATTGAATATGTACAAGTTGGCCACCCGCAAATTCATACTCCAAATAGGGGGCAGCACATCACCAGCGTAACTACTAATCAATGCCGTCATTTCAAAACACGGAATAAGTCAGAGAATGAGGAAGGAAGGAAGTTGTCGAACGTGACTAAATAAACGTGAATAAAACATTAATAAAACATACAATACCTCGTCCGTGAACATGATTTTTACCTGAGTCAGGTCAGATAGATTTTCATCTGCAATGGTGGTTGATTAACAATGAAGACCCCCATGATCTCACGCAACTTCACGATGTCATCAAACTACGTCTTTTGTTTTTTGTTTTGATGTGGGAGACCCCTAGCGGCAGAAATTACATACTGTGCGTTTAAGCTGAATCAAATGTGAACAGCAGAAACACAACAAACAAACAATTACAAAGTTAGATTGAGTTAATTGTATTTTCTGAATAAAAAGCACGTAATTTTGCGCATGCAGACTGAAAGTAAAGGAGAATTACAAAACTTAAGTGTGTGAAAACCAAATTGTCGTTATGACTTTCACGTTAAAAGTGACTCAGCGCAACATGTAAAAATTCCTATAACATTCAAGTAACACGTGCATGTCTCTAAGGGGCTACGGACGCTATGTTTGAACTCAGCTATCATCCATATTTTGGTTATAGGACAAAATGGTATTGTGTAAATTGTGTATAAGTCATTTCCTACAATAAGAAATCGTTAGGGCGGTTTAGCTTTTTTGTTTTTTTTCACAGTGAACCAAACAGCGGTGGCATTATGCTGCTGTGATTTTAGCATGCCTGCATTCCAGAAGCAAAAGTGGCGTGATGTGTCCCCATTTAGCACCAGTGTTGATAACAGCTCTCCACTGACTACAGCAGAAGAACAATTCTGTGTTAGTATGTTTTATACAGAACGGCAAACTGTAATATTGACCCAAAGTTCCCGCCTTGAACGGGCTGTATAAAAGGAGGTGTCATTTTGTTCGTATTCCTGCAGCTGAAAAGAAGGCCGCTGAGCACACACCCTTTGTATGAATGGAAGTTAAGCCAAGATGATGTGTGACTTGTTTGTTCAGTGAAAAAGTGCAAACATATAGTTCTCCAACAGGGAAGCAAACTTTTGACCAGGCTTTCTCAGTAACAACGATGACTCAGTGTAGTGACAGCAGTTTTTAGGATTCATACGTGTGCATCTCTAAAGGCCGGGTTCTGTTTTGGGTTCAGTCATGAGTATAATTCCAATAGAAAAATAAAGCAGGACGGTTAATACCCTCCCCTCTCTCTCTCTCTCTCTCCTCTTGTTGGCTGTCTGCCTCTTCACTGTTAAATAAAAGGTGAAAATGCCAATTAATAATCTTTTTTTTTTTTAAATGATGTAATATCCAGTACCCAAGTACCCAGATTTGTTAAGATCTAAGTAAGTTTGGATGTTTACCGTTTCCTGCCTGTAGATTGCGAGGATGCAGTGCAAAGGGCTCTTGTAGTCTTTCCCCGCCTGGAGCCGTGTCTGGAGGAGAGAAAAAGGGCCGTGTTCGTTTAAAAAAAAGGCAACAAAAAAGATTAAATAGAAAACTGAAGTCTTCCACCTTTTTTGTAGCTAGCCTCTGTTCCATTAGCTTCAGCTGGACACTTATAGATTTTCTTATAGATAAAAGATAGTTTACTTTCATTTCCTCCTCACCAGAGGCTGAAAAATATTACTGGAGTTTTTCTGTAATAACTTCTTATATAAACACAATATTTAGTATTGTATTGGACAGTAACATTTGAGCTTTATAGACCAAACTTACAAGGTAAAAGATGATGCTTTTAATAAAAATTTTAAATACTGCAGCAAACTAGCAAATGGGCCAAAACTGCTACGTACAACATATCATTTTCACTACGGATTTCTCTTTTTTCTGTATTATAAAATGAAAAAATTTAAAATCTTTGTAGCTGTACATCAGTACATGTAGCTGTTAGAGTAAACAGAGCCTCTTCAGCATAAATGAAGTGCAGATTAGAATTAATTGCTCTTGCATAACAACAAATACACGCGAATGTACCATAAAGTACATACTTCAGGAGTCTTGATCAATTACAGATTTTTGTTCTTTACTACCGTCAGGACTAGGGCTGAACAATTAATCAAAATATTATCTGAATTACAATATGGCTAAGTGCAAAATCCAAAGTGCAGGAGCAGCATTTTTCTTGATTAAAAGGTCAGATGTGTCGCAACATAAGATTATAAATGAAGCATTGTGGTGCTACAGAGATGCCCCAGCATACAAATCATATTCTCCACATGTAAGGGAACGGCACAGCAAAAATCCCATTATCATTTATATTAGATTTTTCAGTGAAAACAAAATTCTAATTATCATTTCCACTGAAATCTTGACACTCGTCACAATATCTGTCAAAATAAAATAATCACAATATGTTTTGCATATCGTTCAGCCTTAATCAGGAGAAGACAGTGATGAAGTTTATGCCGCAGTAAAATTATGCAGTAGGTCTGAAATACCTTCACTGTGTCCAGCGGATGGCCCACGACCACACTGGAAGCTCCTGCAGCCAAAAGAGAAATATAAATAGACGTAAGGGAAATGAATGCACAGCATACCAGAGGAAGACTGTTTTTGCTGTAAAGTCAAACTACTCATTAAGTTTATTTTTCCTGTTTCTGTCATGAAGTGGACTTTTGTTGCACTTTAAACCATTACATGTTACTTCAATTAAATAGCCAGATAGTGAGAGAGATGTACTGAAACATCTCGGGAAATTTGAGTTTTGTGTTTCCTTCTTTAGAGTCCTTTGGGGGCTGCAATCATGGGGCCCTGGGGCAAAAATAAGCCATTGTGCCCTGATTAACCCCCTGTTCCCACTGTGCACTGTGTGTATCCCACTCCAATTACTCATCAAGAGCACACAGCACTCTACACATGGCAACACATGGCTCACAGTATCTTGCTGAGAAACTCATTTGACACTGAGTGCTACCAGGACTGTGTGTCATCTAGACTTCAGTAATTTGATAGACCATGAGTGAATTTAGGACTATGCACCACTTCAACATAGATCATTTCTGTTGATATTGTGCTTTCATTGCGCACACACCAAAACCTACTGACATACGTGAACCTGGCTGGGGCTGCTGGAGCAACTGCCTACTCTACCAACCCATTTTGCCTATTTGGAAAGCTATGAAAGACAGAACTGAAGCACAAACTGAAGAAAAAATAGCTTCATTTTGCAACTGCTCCTATAACGCCACTCCCTGCAGCAGCTCACCCTTCCCGCATGTTAAGAATTCTTTGGGCATTTTCAAATGCAACAATACAACTTCGCTTTGTTTGAGGCTTCCAAGTTTGTTGCCCAACTTAAATTCAATAGCAAAACAAAAAAGGCAATGACATGTCAAGACATGTCAAATTGTGTCTATAAACTTAACTGATTCTGTGGAGCTCAAACTTAACCTCATGGTCACTTTAAAGCACATCGTGGAATCCTTTGATCTCTTTTGGATTTACTGCAACATCACCTTCTGATATTACTATTTTGTGATATTTTCTTGAACCTAAGTAAGAAAACAGAGTAACTGATGCGTTTGTGCACATTTAACAAAGCAGTCCAAAACTATAATGAGATGTGGCCCCTCATACTTAAGTGTAAATGCAGTTAATTTGGAGTTGTCCCTTGGGGGTCAACAGCAGAATAAAATACTTCTTTATTATTTTATTCACTTAATGACAATGAGAAAATGCATCTAAATGGCCCGTTTAGTTGTTGCTTTCACCTTTCAACTCCGCCCCAACTACACTTGAAAGGGCGGAGTTCAGCCATTTTTATGAATACAGACACACAATTAGTGAGTTTAGTGTCAAAACTTGTTGTAACGCACCTTCTACTGACAAAACAGCTGACAGTTTTATTGCACTTTACATGTGTGCTTATTTTAGACCACATTTTCTTTTAGTTGAGCAATAATAGATTTTGAGAAAGCTTGTCTGGTTTTACTTTTACTTTCTTTCTTTCTTTTTTTTAAGTGCAGGGTAGGGCTGGACGATATGGCCAAAACTGTTATCACGATAAAAAGTTTCATATCTTTCGATTTCGATAATTATCACGATAAGTCAAATCAAATCGTTATTTCTTTCGAGTTTAAAGGCTGATTTTTGCTTTTGAGTTAAAGTTGAAGAAACCTGTTGGTTAATTGTGGTTTAAACTTTTCTTTATGGTCAACACTTGATGCCAAACAGCGGATCACTTCACAAATCTGAGGCAGAACATTCAAAACAATTCTGAAAAAATCTTTGTCAACAATTATGCATAAGTAAAATTAAGTATAATCTTTTTTTCAGTCCTTTTTCCTCAACAAAATAAACATCTTCATAAAAAAACCCAGTTTTTATGATTCAAGTGAATAAAATAACATTTATTGAATATTTATTGAACATTTGTTGTATTGTTATTGAAAAAAATGATATTGTGATAATTATTGTTTTATTGTCCAGCCCTAGTGCAGGGCATCATTTTATAGCACCTTCTATATAAAATTTTGATTTTTACAGATCATCACCATCAGATTCTTTCTTTCAAAGAACACTTAAATATTTAGACAACTTCCAAATTTCACTTTTGTTTTTGTTGACATCTTTTAAATCTCTACATGTAGCTCCCGCCTACATGTCTGAGTTACTAAGCCTATAAACCAACATGCAGTATATCAAAGCCATCCAACCAAAATCTGGCTAACACTGCGTACCAAACCTAAAGCAAAAGGTGGGAAAGGCTCTGTAAAGATTTCCCTTTCCCATTAGATCAGCTGTCTGTTTTTTTCCTTTAAGTGAGTGGTTTTATACTTATACTTAATATGTTTATGCTTGATTTTACTTTCACTTTGTTTGAATAGATGCTGTACAAATAAAGTTTTACTTACTCATTTACACAGAGCTTAAATGTAACTTTTTAGTTTCATTTTCACAGAACCTTTAACTGACCCTGTCTCTCATTTGATCTGTACATGCAACAACTGAAATGTTTCAGAGTCTCTGCTTCTTTCTACTCATATTTTCTTTACCAGCTACTTGTATACGTGTATAACTTTTTGATTTGAGAAATTAAATTCAAATGAGCTGCATCAAAGGGGTTCACTTATCACTAGCCCCCCCTTGTTTTTTGCTTTATGCAACTACAAATGATGCAGCAACAGCGCCGCTAGTGGACAGCAGGTATCCCACTTGAAAAGACGTTTTCTCAGTAAAATTGAATTTCTAAATAATCACTTCTGCAGCGACAGTGTCTGAAAGCATGCACGGCGGCGATAACGCGTTAGTTATTTAGTTCATAGGTCAAACACGAAAGGTGGGAGTGTTTTTTATCGGAGGGGGGGGGGGGGGGGTGTTTGCAGACCCTCCATTGTTACATTGGACGTGACGTGGAGACGTGAACTTCTTGTACAAATAATTTAATCCAAATAAACAATGCATTTGAGAAGCCACTGAGTGGATGGACTCACCTCCCACAGTGATCCACTGAACACTCTCGCAGAATAAAAAGCTGCCTGGAAACAAGGTTGTGTCACTCACCTCCGATCCATCCTGCAATAAAATCATCCAACCGAAAGTTCTTTGAAGTCTGCATCTTCAACTCAGAGCTGCTCTGTGCGTCCAAACTTCAGCCGGCTGCCTCTCATCTGTCAGCGAAAAGCGCCTCTGCATCAGTTCTCAGCTGCAGGGATGAGGAAGACACCGAAGCTTCGCCTTTATTGATAAAGCAGCGAGCAGATCCGTTTCTGAGAGATCTTGGAAGTGTTTGCTTTGATTAAAAAAAAAAAAAAAAAAAAGCTGCACACCAGGTTGGCACGATAAGCCAATCAGAACAAAGTTCCGATCTGAGGGACAGCACGGCTGGCCAATCAGGTGTGAGCTGTCCATAGCCACCCAGCCTATAGTGACACCGTCATGGAAATGAGCCATGAGGACGAAAGATGAGCAGAAACAAAAAAAAAAAAAGATGAGCAGAAACACTTCCGCTACTGACAGACCGAGCCTGGCTTCACTCTAATGTACTATATACCCGGCTGTATTAAGTTGATCATATTTACAATTATCATGCCCACAATAATGATAAACAATTATAATTAGTCTAATTTTAGTTTTACAATAAAACATCTGAATCTTTTTTTAATCAAACAATAAAAGCATATATATTTTAATTTGTGAAAGCATAAGGAATAGTCATAAAGACTTCTGATTTAAAGTATTTGAATAAGAGGGTAAATCTTTTAGTGGATTGTAATCTGAGGGTCGAGGCCCAACAAGGGGTCACGAGATTAATCATAATTAATTATAAGATGTTTAATAAACTGAGGAAGATAATAAATGATGACTTTTCTGTAATATTCCCTTTTTTCATTATAAGGCTCTTTATAGCTGACAAAACAATCTCGCCTCAGCGTCCACGTGGCAGCTGATCTGGAGTTTTTGATCATATCTCAGGATCTTCATCAGCAGATGTGTTTGCCGTGTTGTCATGATATTTTGATGTTCAAATGTATTTTAGCACTTTATAGACTTCTTGTCCATGTTGGCTTAGAATCTGAGCTTTAAAGTTAATTCCTGACCTTGGAAACGATATCAGCTCAAGGTCCCTTTAGGCTGTCCTGAAGCTTTCGGTTATATCACATGATCTTCATAATTTACTCTGTTCCAAAAAAAAAAAAAAGGGAAATTTATACTTCTATGCTAACTGGGAAAACTAGGAATATTGTGTGATATGACCGAAAGCCCAGAACAGTCACTGCGAATGGAGCGTAAAGTGAGATTTTGTTTTTAACATAAAAAATTAACCAAATTATGAATAGCTTTGTCTCTTCTGGCCTCTAAAAAGTTTTTTAAATAAACAATCTTAGACAGAAAAATCACTGGTTGAACTTTTTACAACTCATAGACATTTGCAACCTGTGAGAAAGGACAATGATGAGACTTTTCGTCTTTGCTTTGTAAAAACATTTAGGACCTATTGTTCATGTCATGAACGGCAGATACTGTATCAAAAACAGCGACAAGAGGAATAGAATTATTATAAAATATAGTATTAGAATGGTTTTCAACTCTGGCCTGTGTGTGAAGGAAGATTTTCTTAATAATTGTAAAGTTGAGTTGGGCTTTATTTTTTACCCCTGTGGTGACACCTTACTACGAAGGGAAAAAAGCACCAACTCCACCTCTGAGGTCAGAGCTTTGGTCAAGGGCAGCAGCAGGAAGATTCCTGGTAGCTCACATAATATTTAATTTGCTAATACCTAAACCAGAGCACCTGGAGGAAAAACTCAAACACAAGGAGAGCAAACAAACCCAGTGAGGCATGATGGGATTCAAACTCAGGGTTTTTTCAAAATATCAGTGGGCTCTTGTACTTGCTGCTGTCTTTGTTTCAAGTGTTGTTTTGTATATTTTTAGTGTTTGGATGTAGAGCCCAGAATTGTCAGGTTATCTATATTTTAATTTCTTTGTGTTTGCAGTCTGCAAAAAATCTTTTTTCATCAGCTGGCTAACTTGTGCCAGGGTGCAGCAACTTTTTCAAACTGGATATGTTTGCCATAATGTTAAATACGGTGCTTTTATCTATCACAGAGCGGTTTTATACTTTCACTGTTAAAAGGGTGTGGCGTAGACAGGGATTTAACTGTTTGGCTTTTTGATGAAGAATAAAATGACAATATTTATTGATACTTTCTCTGGAATAAAGTGAACGTATGTTCAGAAACCTATAAATGGTGTTACAGTATTGAATGGAAGCTGACCTCTAAAACACCACTGGGGTGGGTAAATCATTACAAACTCATGCTGCGCAGAAAATCGTGTTCAACCCCACCAAACTTTACTTTCCCTTTTAGTGGAAGGATGAATTTCTGAGAAATGTGCACAGACATTAACAAACATGAAGTCTTGGTTTTGAATACAGTCTTTCACTAGGTGTAAACATCATATACTGCAGCTTCTATGAAGAAATAAAGCTAATCCAGAATATATTATAGTCAGATAATGTAGAATAAGATGATTTTTCAACTTTAAAGCTACTCAAAGGGAAAAAAAGGACATTAAGTGGTAGGGAAATATAGCCAACCTCTATACTATGGATGGCAGAGAACAAAGACAGCATTCATGTCCAGTAACCTGTCTGGTGTTTATGTCTTTAGATAAGCCTGTTATCAGATGAAAAAATGAAAAACTATGCACACAAAAACATAAAGGAGATGGGAGTGGAGATATGAGTCAGGGAGACTTGCCTGTAGCAGTTCAAATTTGTTGTACTTGCATTTCTGTGGAAATTTACATCTGTTATTTGTGTCTTATCACAGGGTGGAGTTTGGTTTGTCTGGAGATGGAGGAGACGTGGGAGGCATCCTCCACAACAACTGTGAAACATTAACGTCTATGATTTCATGGAGATGGCATGTGTTTACAGACAACTTAATTCTAACGTTAGCCTGTAGACCTGCAACATAACCGTTGCATAAATAAAAATCTACTGTACATACTTACTGAAACCCTAAACTACACATGTATTTTGGTTTCCTTATCATGGAGATGAAATGTACATCACAGCAGGTCTGTTTTGCTATAGACATGTCAGGCTCCCAGGATCCACCAGACACAATGGCCTTGTTCAGTCTATCAGCCCAAATCAGTTTTCTGGCATATCGAATTTATCCAGATTGATTTCAGAAAGTCTGGGCAGCAAAAAGCCCACATGAAATGCAATTTCAGATCTGACAACCATGGGGAAATAGTTTGAGTACCACGATAGGGTAACACTCAGTTCACATTCTTTTGCACCACTTCACTTTGGCACATGGTCATTTATACCAAACGGGTGCTTATAACCACCAATTCATCAAACAGAAACAGCTGTGTAGGAGGAATTCAACCGGGTGAGGTAACAAAGTGAGGGTGCTGAAGACAGTGTACTGTCAGAAGTCATACACCGTGGCAAGACTGAGCACAGTAACAAGACACACAGTAGTTCTACTGCATCAGCAAGGTCCCTCCAAGGCAGAAATCTCGAAGCAGACGGGGGTTTCCAGTTGTGCTGTCCAAGCTCTTTTGAAGAAGCACAAAGAAACGTGCAATGTTGAGGACTGTTGACGCAGTGGGTGGCCAAGGAAACTTACAGCAGCAGATGAAAGACACATCATGCTTACTTCCCTTCACATAGCAAGTAATTTCAATCCCAATTCTGTTCTCCTCAATGTCCTCTAACTGGAGACACCGTAGTAAACCCACAGCTCGTCATTTGATACAAAAAATAAATATATGCCACATCTGGCAGGTCTGCGATTTTTACAAAATCGGATCCAAGCCACATTTGGAGGTGGTTTGAAATGCAATTGGATTTCTACAGATGCATCTCTGGCCACTCAAATCAGATTGCAGAGCCACTTGCAACTCCACCCGCTTTACCAGTGTTCAGTTTTTTGTATTATTTAATAAATAAAAGGTGTTTGTAGATATTGTTGGTCCTCTACCTTCAGAAAATTACATCTAACTATTTAGAACTGCTCTTGGAATTATAGTTACTCTTTGAAGATCAAGCCTCTATTCTGCGCCTATGTAAACTGTTAACTGTGAAGTCAGAAGTTTGGTCAGATCTTATTATCATTTGACACCTCAAACACATGTTCTGTGTGTCTCCTTGAACCCTGTCTGTGAGTCTGACATGTATATGTGGTGTGTCTCGATTCTGGCTTCTGATTGGTCTGTGGGCCCAGGTGTCGTTGACATGGATGGTGCATGTGAGGTTGAGTTTACCCTCTCATCGAAGAAGCTAAGTGGACTGTACGGCGTGCAATGTACAAAGACAAAACAACGAGACAAGCTATAGGTCATCATGTTGGTAGAGTGGCAGTAAATATAGAAATCACCTTTCAATCAATGTAGAAAAGTTACAGAAACAAATTTAAATTCTTAATGACATAAAATACAATAAAAAGCTCAGGCCATCTCACCCAAAGACAAACTAAACTAGAAAGCACTTAAGAGAGCACATACGCAATCAAGGCTGAACAATCGTCTAAATGTTCTCTGCATATTTGTGGAGAACACCTAAATCATGACAATAATAAACATGTTTATGTAATGTATATGCAGGTGTCGTCAGATTTGGTTGCAGTTGTAAAGTATAATTTATGACAAATAAGCCACACTTACTTTACAATTAGAAGACTGCGTTATGTACAACATTTAAAATGCTAAATATTAGATGAAGTTTGTATTACGGAATATTGGCAAGTGTATAAAAGATCTAAAATTTGTGAATAACTATGTGGCCCAAAACAGTGTGTGTCGATTCGCTTTTTCCATTACACATTTGAAGATTTGTGAGTGTGTATTAGAAGTGCTTTTTCAATGGCCACGTCGTCAAGCAATTAAACCAAAGTTGACAGCCTGTTAATTGCAACCATCCCACAAACCATCCCTCAACTTGGATTATTAAAACATGGGACATGGTTTCATGGTCTAATAGTTCTTCCTGCCTGCAAACTCTGAAGTTTCACATTTGGTCACTGGACAGCCTTGCCTTACAGTGCTGAGACAAAATCTGCAGAGGTTTGACTTCTACATCCAGGGTTTGTGGTTTAACATAATCTCTGAAACAAATCTAGGAGTTTTTCTCCACTTGTAAAAGGGTTTCAACACGGTGCTTTTGAATAATGTCTTTCTCTCGTAGCGTCACTCTCCGGTGGACTCGAATAAACACACATCGCTGTACTCGCAGGGGACAGTCTTCTGGATTGTTTCTGCTCAAGGGCACATTGATTACAGATATTTAAACTCACTGGATTTTACCTTCACTGATTTTTACCTTTAAGCTATCGCTGTCCTTTTACATTTGATATTTTCAATACTATGTTTTGCTAGATGTGCACTATTACCGGACCTTTATAGTCTACACAAACTAAGAGATGTCTGACATTTGTTATTGAGCTGTGTGAATTATAAGACTGGAAAGATTTCACAGAAATTGTCTTTCTGTTCTGATTTGATATCATGTCGATCAGCAACAACACCGTTGCCCTGATTTGTTATGTCCTGTGTAAAGTGCGCTGACCTGTAATAAGGACGCATGGAT